GGGATGGTCCCCGGCGGCCGGCGCATGATGACATGACTCCGGTCGGCACTGCACACCTATGCCGGTCAGCAGAGCGAGGCACCGGCTACCCGAGCAAGCCGACGAGCGCCGCGGGGACAAGTTGAACTCCTGGACGGCGGTTGAGAGATAGACAATGGCCCTAGCGCCCTGTCTGCGTCGCCGAGCCACCCGTCACGGTAGCGCGAGCACGCCGGTGACCTAGGATACTAACGGAGAGGTAGAGGTAGCGGGAAAGCAGTAGGGGCTCATTGCGGTCCGCGCTGTGGTGGCGGTTGAGGCAGAGGAGGGCCAAGATGACCTAGCCACATCCACGCGAGCACGGTGGCATCGCTCCTAGGTAGACACGGCATGTCACCTCACCGTCGACGAGCGCCCTAGCCAAATGAAGACGAGCACCAGCCCAAGGGGGTCAAGACAAGCTCTGAAACACCGTCAATTGAACCATTACCGATGGGTTTGGGCTTACCCCCAAATCGTGCTCTACTCGGGGCGAGATGGCCGGTGGCTCGAGAAATTTCCAAACCCGGCCAACCAGAGCGAATTGAGGGGCTTGAGCAGGTCAACTGGCTAGCCTACCTCCAATCCTAGTTATGGGAACATTGAATCGAAGTGGGATGTCACGAATCACGCGCGCAGGCTTACGCAGCGGCTCACGGCCTGGACAACCATGACCAGGTTGCGTTAAATGAGCAGAAACACCCACACGGTGAGGCCCCAAGAGAGCGTGCCATGAGGTGCCGAGACAGGACCACTTGGCCTTGGCCGAGAGCGGGCGGCGGTAGCGGAACGACGAGCGTGCGGGAAGAGCATTGACACCCCAACAAGGCAGTAGCTCGACAAGACAGCGGAGGGTGGCAGTTACTTCGGGGTAAGTGGCTCGTGCGGCGAGGAAAGCGCCACGTCGCACTAACGGCGGGCGCTGTGGCGTCAGCCTGGCCCGGCAAGCGGTCAACCGCAACAAGGCCGGCCAACGACAGTGACCTTGGCTAGGGCATCCAATAGCAACGGCGCGCTCGTGTGGCGACTGCAAGGCAACAGAAAAGGCGGGCGCGGCACATGCGCGTGTGGCGCCTGAACGCGACGGCGCAACGTTGCGGGCGGGGTGGTCGCGGCCACAGGGCGGAACGACCAAAACCAGTGTCGTGCACGCTTTTTAAAGCTAAACAAAAACAGTAATCGTCTCTGTCTAAGGTTCAACCACTTATGCCAGTTCAAAGCCAACACTACCCGGTCCCTAACAAGACAATCGTTATGCTCAAAGAGCATCTAGAGACAAAGATAAACGAGTGCCAAGGTGAGCTCATCAGTGAAATGCCGGTTCATGCACAGAGAGCCAAAGACATGTCCTCCACGCGTTCTAGCGAAGTTTGGTCAATTTTGCGTGAGCATCCTAACTCTAACGTAACCACGACCTAGCGCCACGTCCTAGTATACACCTAAATGCAACCGATCGTGCGAAAACATGGATGTAGTGCTTACCCATTTTTGTAGGAAATCAAATGCCAAATTGGCATTGTCGTTAGGTTTCCAGACTTAAATCGTTTAGTTCTAGAAGCTGAAATTATATTCCACTTTTAATTTTTAAGCTATAAAAAATACCATGGAACAACATCTATTCACCAAATCAACGGTTCATTTTCATCTACTAAACTTGAACTTCAAATTTTATTTAAGTATCAATTACAAATTATATTTTATTTTTGTTTATAAAAATTGTTTTTCATGCTTAATCAAATAAACAAGCCATTCGCGATTTATTTGCTATCGAGACATTTTTAAGCACTTTCTTCGTACTTTTCCAAAACAAGCCCTAAACAACTTTTATGCACAAGATTATTTAAAAGTTGTTAAGCACCAAGACAAGTTGACTAGCGACACTTATTTGTTTGTTTTATTCCCGAAAGCGAGTCACCCAAGATTCATTTATAATTCCATGTGTGCTTTAAACTTTTAAACCCAAAAACTTGTTTTGCTAATTTCTCATAGGCATTAACCTAAGTGCTAAACAAGCTTGTAACACCAGAGGTGTTACACTCTCATCATGTCTTCAAGCATCATGGTCGCGAGAAGGTTGCTATGCTTCTTGAGCTTATCGTAGGTGGTGGATGGTATGGAGGCCTTTGTCTCTTAGGTTTGTTCACCCCTAGTCATCGCTAGGTCATCGCTAGCTTTGTTGCTTTGTCATTTATCTCTTTTATGACTTGGTGGTTAGCTTGCAAACTCTTTGGTAGTAGTATCATAAACTCTAAATAATCAGGGTCCTCACGAGACTCGTCTCATAAATGTAGGTCACTCCTTTTGATTTGTGATCTTGGCAACTCTAGACTTGCTAAGATCATAGATTGTAACCGTAACCCTCTATTTCTCTTAATGAAACACATGGTTAGACTCGATCCAAAAAAATGGAGATAGGCGGGAGATGGGCAAGAGAGCACTTGAGCACGTGAATGACAAAAGGGGCAATCTGAAACGAGGTTGATACAACAGTCATTCCATCCGATCTGATCAAATAGCTGGGATTGATAGACCAAAGGGGTTGTTCGGCAGAACTGAAAAATAAGTCAAAATACTGTTCTGACTGATTATTGTGAGAGAAAAATATTATTCTATCTGGACGTGAACAATATTTCTATGAGTGAGCTGGCCAGCCAGGCTAAGCCCAGCCAGCCAGCCGAAAAGCCCAAGGCCTCTGTTTGCAGCCAAGGAAATAATAGTTAGCTGCTAATAATTATCTTCTTTGATCTAAACAGGTCTAGCTATTTGTTGGCTGAGTATCAACTAACAACTATTTCACTAGTTGGACTAAACTAGCTAATAGCAGCTAATATTAGTTGTAACCTATTATTTAGATAACTATTAGCAGCTAATGGGTTAAACAGACCCTAAATAAAATTAAAAAAACAGGCGTACTATATGTTTTATGCCATCGCTCTGTTTTTAAAAGAAACAATAGCTCATGAAACAAGGTTTTGGCCGCGAGTGCAGTGTACATTCCACTTGAAAAGTGAGTTGGATTCTGTTTGTGGACCCGGATGTTGACGTGGCTGAGAGTACACTGCACGATAGGAGGAAATATTAGCTGGCTCCGTTCGTTTCGCTGAAAAAACAAGCTAAAACATTATTTCCGGCTGATTTATTGTGAGAGAAAAATATTGTTCCGGCTGAAAAAACAAGCTGAAAAGTACGGATTATAAGATAAGCGAACAGGTCCGCTGGAAGTTGACTCAGCCCTATTAAAAGCAAGTGGGCCCAAGTCTACTTAATTAGTGCCACGGTGGCAGTGCGCCATTAACATAATATATAGTCCACGTGTCCAAGCCAGTGCTGATGTGTTTACATTTAAACTTTAGGAAACACCATTTAAAAGAATTCTTCCTGTTGGCACTTGAGCATCAAAAGTTCTTTACACCCTGATGCTGGAAGCCAAGCTTATCATATACCTCATTTATATTAAGGACAGTGTAGTTACTTCACTGTCCTTAATATAATGTGGAGATCCATTTTTTATTTTTGGGATTCAAGCAAACAAAAACTTCAATTATGCTTTTTGATCACCAGCAAGCACTTTTGTGGTCGAGTGCTGCCATTTCATGGGATATCATATCAGGTAAAGCAATAAAGTGCAAAGCAAAAAAAAAAAGATATTTGCATTGTTTTTGTTCTATCTGCAAATTACAGATGTGTCATAACAATTGTAGTCACTTTCTTTCATTCAAAAAATTGTAGTCACTTTCACAATTTCGTTTTCAAGCATTTTCATATGATTCTTTGATACATTCAGTTATACAGAAAAATCACAAGTCCAGACTCCTTTTATTTTTGGTAAAAAAAAGTGCGAGTAAACATATTTTACACATGTTCGCTTTATCATTTCTATGGCTTATAAGCCGGCTGATGCTGTTTTGTTGTGAGAAAAAAACACTATATCATGGCTGATAAGCATGGTTGATACGATCAAGCGAACAAAGTTTAGTTCATTTGGGTTATTCTAATCCTTGAAAAAAACATAAAGCATGATGGTACCTCAGTTTGAACCTTTTGGCCCAGGATGCTTAAGTTAAGACTATCATGGATTATACTTCACACGTCGCAAATATATAGCAATTAGAACAGCAAAAATTTTACAAAGGAAAATGCAATATGAAATGGCAAATGGAAAAAAACATCAGCACTTAGAGCAATAATTTTCGTTTTACAAATGGGGAAAAAATATGAGCTTGTGATTTTGCAAGGAAATTGTGGCATAGGTATCTAGGTGTGCTTGAGTGTTTCTTTCACGAGCCGTCGATAGTGGCCATGGTGCACACACAAGAGAGGCAGGTGTAGACGTGTAGTGTAGTGGCAATAGGAATCCACTAAAATTTACAAGTGAGAGCAGTGCATGCTTGCAGTGGTAAGTAGCAGTAGTAGCTCCCAACTAGATCTTGCAAATTTGGTGGCCGTCCTTGCTGCAACCTCACCATGTTGAGTAGGATGCCATTCACCAGCATAACATGCATGGCATTTGCATTTCTTCCATCAGTGAACAAATCCTGTTTCGATCATGACAGTGTCATCTCAGCATTCTGACTTTTGAATGATGAATGAATATGCAGGTAGTGTTGATCCATGAAAATAGGCTGAATATGTTGTAGGATACTTTATACATAGTCAGCCTACACATCCTATGACTAAAATGTGATATGAGCCAAACAATAGCTAGCAAAGAGTTAATGCAGTGCGAAATTGACGGAAGAATGAGAAAGGGCTACATCTGACTCAAAATTAACATAAAAAGAAATTAGCAAAATGAGTAAATATACTCAGCTAATTATGAACTCGGTCCTAGTAGGCTAACGTATTATTTTTAATGGTTACAATTACATGGTAATGGTTCTACAGCTACTGCACATCTGACTCAATTTTAAGCGACACATGTGTAGAAGATAGCCCATTCTTATCATCAATAATCAACAGAGAGATTTTACCTAGCAATCACTTCACTCTCGTCCATCAAACCTTTCAATGAGCTTCTGCTCAATCTCCAACCTCTTCTTAACTAGCAATGTGTAGTTGTTCAGAAGCTCAGTGTCTCCCTCACAGTCCCCAAAAGGAACAGACAACTTCATGCCAAGTGATGTTCCATCCAATCTTCCTGAGTACACACATGAGAATGGCACGAACTCGTCTTGCTGCTTACAAAGCCACCCATGGGCTGCTCGCAGAGCAGCACCCAAAGAAGCAGAGTCTGCATTGATTGAATGAGATATAATATAGGTGTATCAGAAATAGCAAGCAAATTAAAAAGAAAATGAACATAGAGAAGAAGAATTTGCGAGCATGCACAACAACTAGCTTAATTATAAGTAGAATAATCACTGTTCATCATATTGTTTGAGCAGGAATGGATACCGAGACAAGCATATTAGCACTATGTTCTTAAGGAGTATAAGCATATTAATATGTAAGCAGGCACATCAGTATATCTCATGTAAGGGCTGTGCATACCTGATCTTTGGGAAGTGTACACAGGACAACCAAAAATAGATGCCATTATCTTGAGAATTGTTGGGTTTGAGGACGCACCACCGGTTGCTATAATCCGTTTTGGAGGTACTGGCAGGCCACATTGCTCAGCATGGCCCCTCATGGACATGAACTGCCCTTCAATTATCGCACGCACCTAAATCATGGCTGTTAATTAAATGAGCATGTCAAACAGTTCGATTTACAGGTTCTGAGGTCTTCAAACCTCTGAAGGAGGATCAAACTTGTCAACTTCTTCTTCCACCATCTCGTCCAAAGGTCCACTAGTGAAGTTCTTGAGAACATACCGGTGAAATCCAACTATGCATTTCGGTGAGCATCTAATCTAAATGAGCACCGAGATGAAGATTGAATTATGAAAGGGAAAAAATATAAGGACAAAACTAACCTGGAAGTGGTGGGAGAATCTCATGTTCCTTGTAGTAAAATCCCAACTTCCCTCCTGCAAAAGCAGGAAAATATAAGTCCAGGAATCTTCAGGAAAGTTACTTTTGTGTGGTCAATGCAAGCATATATTGTGAACATGAAGGAAAGGCAAGCTTTATGTAGTAACTGCATTAGACATGTTGGGATCAAAAGGCATAACTATAAAACTGCACTGAGTTGCCAATTATTGCAAGGCTGTAAACTGAGTGGTTGAAATATGATGTTATGCCATGATTTCTAGCCAAGCAGTTATCTCAGTTCCCCAACATATTCTCTGTTGTCCATTGTATAAACACAAACTCGCATTTAGTTATGCTTAAAGAAACTAGGCAATCAATTCTTTAGTAAATGGAATGATGAAGCAATAATAGAATGGTGTACCATTCAAGGGGGCTGTTTCCTCAAGCAACCTGTTGAACAGATCCCAAGATCTCTCAGCATAACAATTGCGGAGGTCTGAACAAAATGTATGTATTAGTAAGGGGGTGGAGCGCAATAGAAGTCACTAGCAAACCATACCTTCTCGTGTTAGAGATCCATTTTTATAGCAAAGCAGAACCATGTAGGTCTTGGGATCGACTGGATTAGGAAAGATGTTTCCCTCTAGGCTTGGTTCAGGTGAATCGGTGACCCCGAAAACCTGAAAGGGGCCATAGAGGCACCACAACCAGCACCAGTGGTTAATACAGAACCATACAGAATGAAACAATGTCACATATTGAGTACATTTTCCAATATTCTTTTACTAACTGATCCAGTGTAGTAGAAGTAAGGTTCAGTTTGCACGTTTTGCCAATTGCAGAACCAGATCATAATATGTACTGTTACATGTTTTCCTTTTAGTAATAACTCTTGGGAAATAAGTCAACAAAAAAATTGTAACAAAGCAAGGTGGTAGACGATTACCGTATCACTTGTCCCAAGGCTGATTGCTAGATCACCAGGATTGCTCAAAGTTAAGCCTGCACAATCACACATGTATGGAAGCCAAAAGCACTTTTTAAATTTGCAGAATGCAAGCAATCTTAACATATATATGGCCCAATTAATTTGGTCATTCTTTTATCTAGACAAACAAACATCAGAACATACTAAGATATTTGAATGCAGAAGATTAGGATGAACCTAAGTACCTGCAAGGCTATTGGGGTTGTCGCCTGACCACTGAATAACTAGACAGTTGCTTGAAAACTGAAATCTGCAAGAACATATAAACAGGAGTATTCAATCTAACAAGCTGATTTCACGAGTAAACAATGATAAAAAAGTTGCTACAGCTTGTTCACATTATCTGACCTTTCAAGATGTGAAGTTGTGGACACAAACAGACACCAAGAAAAGGAAAGATATTCAGTTGTATTTACCTCTGAACAAAATACGGAGCTATCTTTCCAGCCACAGCATGTGCTGGTGCTAGTTTCCCAATCCGCTCTTCCAAATTTGGAGCCATAGCCTACAAAATTGAAATGTAAAAATGTTGAACTGAGCTTAATTCTTCTTTGAGCTGATTGGGCTTAATTCTAGTATGTGCCACTTCCATCATTTTAGTTACAATTGCAATCTGCAGTGGTGAACACAATTGCAAGTCTCAAGTCTGAAACTCTGAATCAGTGAAGGGAAACATGAACAACAAGAGAACCTGAAGAGCGTCCTGGCGCAGCTGGCGCGTGTCGATGTCCATGATGTTCATCCCGGCTCCATCGGTCTCATCGATGCAGGCGTACCCGCCAACGAGCAGCGACGCCATGAACGAGCTCACCAGCGAGACCCTCTCGGTGGCCTCATACACCTGCGGCCGGGTCTGGTGCATCTTCCGTATCTGCGGCCCCGTGCAGCGCCGGTGCGCGCGGCACCCCGTGAGCCTCGCCAGGCGCAGGGGCCCGCCCATGGCCGCCTCCACCTCCCGGCACTGCGCCGCGGTGCTGCTGTCCATCCACACGGGCGACTCCGGCGCCGCGAGCGCGCCCGCGGCCGCGAGCTGCGGCCCCAGGCCCTCGCCGGCGGCAGGGTCCAGGGTGGCCAGCGCGGCGCCGGCGCCCTTGGCCCAGTACACGCTGCCGTGCTGCTGCGCGGAGCCGGAGACGGCGGCGACGCGGCGGAGGTCGGCGCGCCGCCGCAGCCTCCCGAGGAGCAGGTCCAGCGCCTCCGCCCACATGAGCGGCGGCGACACGATGCGGCCCCGCTCAGCGGGGTCTTGGTCTCGGAGGACGCCGCCGCGGGTGCCGTAGTGCGGCAGGTCCGAGTCGAAGTGGACGGAGTCGGTGGCCACGATGCCCAGGCCGGCGTCCAGCACCGTGGCCTTGAGCGACCTGGTTGGTTGGTTTGAGGTCAGCGCAGTAGTGAAGCAAGCGAAGCCACGGCAGCAGCCGGCAATGGGGGTGGTCCGGTGGAGAGCTAGCAAGTCAAGAAGCGAGCGACGAGGCTTGACTAAGCTTGAGCAGAAGAGCAGGAAAGGGAGCTTACTGGGTGGAGCAGTCGAGACCGAGGAAGAGGGAGTCGTCGGGAAGGCGGAGCAAGCAGCAGTCACCGCCGGCGCCGGCCATGGCGCAGCAGTCGTCAGTGGAGCCGTGGAGGCAGCCCGAGAGTGAAAGAAAAATGACAACTAGGCAGTATTGACCGCTGGCAGAGTGGGAAAAAAACAAAAAACAAGTTCAGCAGTCAGTGCGAAAAAAAATGAAGCAGCAGTAAGTGTGAAAAAAAAACAATGAAGCAGGAGTCAGTGTAAAAAAAACAATGAAAAAAGCAAAAAAAAAAAAAAGAAGCAGCAGTTTGGACATGTTTGGATGCACCAGCTAAATTTTAGCCGACTAAATTTAGCTGCTAAGCATACAAACAGCCTACCTAAAAGACTAGCTAAAGTTTAGTTAGGTTTAGCTAGACCTGTTTAGTTACAGGGACTAAAGTTTAATCCCTATCACATTGAATATTTGAACATTGATTTGGAGTATTAAACTAGACTAATTATAAAACTAATTGAACAAATTTAACTAAGTCTATTAGCTAGAGCATCTAAACACCCCAGCTATAAAGTATAGCTGAGAAACTTTTAGCCGTCTAAAGTTTTCCTTTGAAATTTAGTTGGTGCATTCAAACATGCTCTTAGTGTGAAAAAAAACAATGAAGCAGCATTCAGCGTGGAAAAAAAATGCAAAAAACAAAAACAAAAAAACAATGAAGGAGTAATCAGTGTGAAAAAGAACAAAAAAAAACAATGAAGCAAAAGTCAGTGTGGAAAAAAAAACAATACAAAAAGGGAGCAAACCAAAACAACGTGCTGCTTTCGTTAAGCAGCAGTCAGTGTGGAAAAAAAAAAGCAAACTAATATGACATGCTGCTTTCGTTGAGAGTCGAACTAGCTACGAAACCTATTTGTTTAAATGGGTTCTCAATTTTTATTAATTAGTTTTATAATTAACATTTCCACTTGCTAACCTAAGTATAAATATTCCATTCACCATGTTCCCTCTAACTTGTTTTTCGCCTCCGCTTCCACGGACAGGATAGACCTCCTCTTCTGCGTCGGCGCCAGCCAGCATGGACACGAAAGAGCTCCTCTTCTCCATCGCAAGCCGCTGAGGTACTACCTAGTCCTCCGCCTCCGCCATGGATGTATGGGGACTCTTTACTCCTGTTGCTGCCTTCTCCCTCCTCCCTGTTGTCTAGCCATAGATCGTGAAAATGTTGGCTCTAATTGCTTTCAATCCTCTAGGCCCATGATGTTGTCGTTAGATCGAGAGGGTTCTTGGCTTTATGGACGGCGACAAACGGGGCTACTAGATCGGCAATGCACTCAAGTGCCTCCAGAATCTAACCCTTAGATAACAATGTTGTTGGCTGTAGAAAACTATGAACTTGTCTGGACGTGTGATGTCAGCGAAAACCCTGGTGCCGACGTGTTGACGAGGTGAGTTGTTTTGGTCTCCCAAAGGTGTTGATGAAGGCCATCCTACAAAGGTGTTTGGCGAAAGCAAATTTGCTATAGTTGATGAAGGTGTCGGCAAAGCCCCTCGTGCCAAGAGCTTGGTGAAGGTAGTGTCCATGTTGACTTCAAAGATGTTAGCAAAACCTCTCGTGCTAAAGAGCTTGGCGAAGGTAGTGTCGTTGTTGACTGCTAAGATGGTGGCGAAGCGCCTCATGCTAAAGAGAAGAAGCGGTGTCGGTGTTGACTCCAAACTCTGAAGATGGTGGCGTGTCACACCCAATTTTAAGGATAAAATTGAATGTAATATCTTATGTGCGCCCAGAGATCAATCACACACACAAGCCGACAAATTATAGAAAATACCATCACAAGTGTTTATTACATCACGGATATTATCACATAGTCTTCACATAAATATAGCAGAAATATAAAGATAACTCTCTCAATGTAGCTCCATAACACAGGGATGTCAACTGGTTGACCACAAGACTAGTAATCCTCAGGAAAGTCGTCATTACCATAGCAATCTGTTACCCATTCGGGATTTGTATCCAAATAATGAAAATAAACAAGCGTAAGTACATGTCATACTCAACAAGTGTAATATGGGGTTCATGAAACTCAAAAGCTTGACACGGATTTGACTGCATTTAGCTTTTAGTTGTCACAATTTTAGCATATGAGTAGCAGCAAGTTGTCATAAACCCAATAAAAACACATGATCAATGTAAACATGAATAATATATAGCAAAAATAATTAATTAATAGTGATCATCTATTCCATAAGGGTTCCAAGGCTGCTCGTGACCGTGAGCATGGCTGTTATAACAGTTTTACACTCTGCAGAGGTTGTACACTTTCACTGTGAGTCATGTTTCCCATTTGTCCGGGGTTTGCAAGTCCCCAAACACTACCAAGGTGAGCAGACAGGGTACACTATAAGCCTTTTAAAGGTTCATCTAACAAGTTAGGGCCGCTAGGATTCTAATTGACAAACAGATGTAGAGCTCCCCTTCTAAATGGCACATTCCGCGCAAGCTATACACATAAAGACAGAGGCCGCACTATACCCGATTCGGCAAGCCCCTTTTACGTCATAAAGGTAACCACGAACAAGCTAAAAAAGGTCCTTGTACTGAGCTAAAGCCAGAGCCATGTGGCTCTCACAGTTGTATTGTAAGTCCCGGATGATCACTTATAGATAAGTCCTTAAGGAGAGGAATATGAAGCATTTAGAAAGTAGCTAAATACTCCAACCCCCTTTTATCAAGTTGCTAAAAAGTCATATTTTATGTTTATTACATATAACATTAGTCAAGTTACAAGATCATGGTTCTGTTGAGCACTAGCAATAGCTACCCAATGCATATTCCATAGGTGACAAGGTATGAGTACAATTCTAGAAAATCCTTAGTTATAGCAAGGAGACACATGCATATGAGTTAAGTGTATTAAAGTTGATAGGAAACAAGGATGGTCCCATGCTATACTTGCCTTGATCAAAGCATTTCTGTTGATCCTGCTCGTCAAAGTAGTACTCTTGATCTCCCATGAATTGCTCACTGTCTATACTCGATCAATACAACAACACACAAGCATCCCGAGATAATCATGCAAAGCAAACAAATCTATAATTAGAACAGTACACCAACAGTATAGAATCAAGATGAAAAGTCTATAAAACGAATCTAAGTCTCGCTATGAACTCATAGACGCGAAGATCACAAAAATCAGAGCTATAATGAAGTAGTTATGAATTAAACAAGATTTCCTTTAATAAAATAATAGATTAAATCTAATATAGAATTTCAACAGTTGAAAACATGTTTAACAATAGTATGAACATGTAGATTACGCAATTACGAATCTAACACAACTTGAACGGATCAAAATGGAGTTAAAACAAAGTTTTTATGACTAAAACAAAACCAGTGGCGGATCTGTAAATAGAGAAAATGAATTTTGAATCTAACAGAGGGAATCTACGCTTCCAGAAAGAGAAAACATATTATGTGAATACGCCATGGACTACATGTTCGAATATAGAAAAGTGTAGGGGCTCTTTAGAAAGATTAGCAGCCGAAGGGGTATCGGCCGATCTGATCCGTTAGATCCAATTTGGATGAACCAGATTAGATCGGAGATGAGAGAGAGAGGTTGCCGGCCGACTACAGTGACGGCGCTGCAGCGATCTGACCGGCGACGGCAAATCCTCGCTGGAGAAAAGGGGAAAAGGCCCTAGAGAACACGATTCGATGAACTAAGAGCATAGGGAGCAAGAGGGGACCAAGGTGAACTCACCAAGATGGATCTCGGTGACGAGAAAAGCTTGAAGATGACGAGCGACTCGGGATGGCGGACGGTGGATCTCTTGCAGATGTTGGCGACACGAGGTGAGCGAACCAAAATGAGAAACAGAGAGAAGAAAGCCTTGGCGACTTCAAAAACTTGACGCGAAGCTCGGCAAAGGGCTTATAGAGGCAACGAAGCGACGAACGGCGAAACAAGCTCGGCGATGGCGGTGCTTAGGGTTGCGGCGGTTGCGAGCTTGAATTGAGACGGCAGCTTGTGCTAGGGTTTGATGGAGGCGGTGCGCTACAGGGGCTTGATATTTATGGGGGGCTATGGTGTGGGTAGCACGCCAAATCCCCAAGGAATCGAAGGAGGGGTGGTGATTTACATCGGGAGGAGTCCGGCTCGAACACGGCCGGAGGTGGAGGATGACGCTGACAGAGCGGGCCCACCTGTCGGCGACTCAAGGCGCGGGGGCAGCTGGTCAGTTAGACCGAAAGAGGAGAGCGCCCACACGGGCTTTGTTGGGCCGCCGAGAGAGGGAAAAAGGCCAAGCGGGCCAAAAGCCAGGGAAGGAGAGGGGTGGTAAAGAATTCCTTTTCTTTTTCTTTTCTAAATTTCCAAAGAGTTTTTCAAATGTATTTTTGAATTCTCTTTTGTGTTTTAAATGAAACCACTCAATACAAAATAATATGCAGCATCATGTATGCACAAACATATAGCTAGACCTTATAGTTGATTTTAATTTAACAAAAGTTATTATTTCTCTAAGTTCAAGTGCTCACAAAAATGCATAAATAAGTCAAATTAACCTATTTTGAAATAATGAAAATTTTAGGGTGTTACATGGCGGAGCCTCTCATGCTGAAGAGCTTGGTGAAGGCAATGTTGGTGTAAACGTCGAAGGTGGTGGGGAAGTGTGGGCACAAAATGCATCAACACACGGCAAGTGGAAGGATCTGCTTGATGGAGCTAGAGATACGCTTGGCTTCAACGCAGGGGTAACCGATCCTACAAATTCCTCCTAAGACGTGCCAGTCAATTTGACCCTACAATTGATAAGGAGAGAAAATTTATCAGTAATTTAAGGTGGAACATGTTGGTCTTTGCCCAGACAATTCCAAGTGTGCCGCTTCGGGCGCAGCCAGATGGGAAAAATTGACTAAATAGTCGATACACACAGAAATCGGTTGTTACGGACAGTAAAGCTTATGGATCGCGATTAGTTTTATGTTGATAAGTATAATGCCCGCAAACGTAAATGAGATCATCAGCTAGGTGGATATTACCAGTATGAATCGTTGAGCCGATGAATCTAAATCAGAAAAA